ATGTACATCATACCTGTCTACTATACACATGTATTACATGTACATCATACCAGTATACCATATACATGTATTACCTGTACATCATACCTATATACCATACACATGTATTACATGTACATCATACCTGTATACCATACACAAGTATTACATGTACATCTTACCTGTATACCATGCACAAGTATTACCTGTACATCATACCTGTATGCCATACACAAGAATAACCAGTACATCATACCTGTAAACCATACAAATGTAGTACCTGTACATCATACCTGTATACCATACACATGTATTACGTGTACATCATACTTGTATACAATACACATGTATTACCTGTACATCATACATGTATACCATATACATGTATTACCTGTACGTCATACCTGTATACAATACACATGTATAACCAGTACATCATACCTGTATACCATACACATATATTACCCGTACATCATACCTGTATATCATACACATGTATTACCTGTACATCATACCTGTATACCATACGCATGTATTACCTGTACATCATACTTGTATACCATACACATGTATTACCTGTACATCATACATGTATACCACGCACATGTACTGTATTACCTTTACATCATACCTGTATATCATACACATGTATTACCTGTACATCATACCTGTATACCATACACATGTATGACCTGTACATCATACCTGTATGCCATACACAAGTATTACCTGTACATCATACCTGTATACCATACACATGTATTACCTGTACATCATACCAGCATAACAAACACATGTATTACCTGTACATCATACATGTATACCATGCACATGTACTGTATTACCTTTACATCATACCTGTATACCATACACATGTATGACCTGTACATCATACCTGTATGCCATACACATGAATTACCAGTACATCATACATGTATACCATACAAATGTAGTACTTGTACATGATACCTGTATACCATACACATGTATTACATGTACATCATACCTGTATACCATACACAAGTATTACCTGTACATGATACTTGTATACCATACACATGTATTACCTGTGCATCATACCTGTATACCATACACATGTATTACATGTACATCATACCTGTATACCATACACAAGTATTACCTGTATATCATACCTGTATACCATACACATGTATTACATGTACATCATACCTGTATACCATACACAAGTATTACCTGTACATCATACCTGTATACCATACACATTTATTACCTGTACATCATACTTGTATACCATACACATGTATTACCTGTACATCATACCTGTATACCATACACATGTATTACGTGTACATCATACCTGTATACAATACACATGTATTACCTGTACATCATACCTGTATAACATACACATGTATTACCTGTACATCATACCTGTATACCATACACATGTATTACGTGTACATCATACCTCTATACCATACACATGTATTACCCGTACATCATACCGGTATACCATACACATGTAGTACCTGTACATTATACCTGTATACCATACACATGTATTACCTGTACATCATAACAGCATAACAAACACATGTATAACCTTGACAACATACCTGTATACCATACACATGTATTACCTGTACATCATACATGTATACCATACACAGGAATAACCAGTACATCATACCTGTATACCATGCACATGTAGTATTTGTACATCATACTTGTATACCATACACATGTATTACCTGTACATCATACCAGCATAACAAACACATGTATTACCTTGACAACATACCTGTATACCATACACATATATTACCTGTACATCATACATGTATACCATACACATGAATAACCAGTACATCATACCTGTATACCATGCACATGTAGTACTTGTACATCATACTTGTATACCATAAACATGTATTACCTGTACATCATACCAGCATAACAATACACATGTATTACCTTGACAACATACCTGTATACCATACACATGTAGTACTTGTACATCATACTTGTATACCATGCACATGTATTACCTTTACATCATACCTGTATGCCATACACATGAATAACCAGTACATCATCCCTGTATACCATACAAATGTTGTACCTGTACATCATACCTGTATAACATACACATGTATTACCTGTACATCATACCTGTATACCATACACATGTATTACCTGTACATCATACCGGTATACCATATACATGTATAACCAGTATATCATACTTGTATACCATACACATGTATTACATGTACTTCATACCTGTATACCATACACAAGTATTACCTGAACATCATACCTGTATACCATACACATGTATTACATGTACATCATAATTGTATACCATACACATGTATTACATGTACATCATACTTGTATACCATACACATGTATTACATGTACATCATACCTGTATACTATACACAAGTATTACCTGTACATCATACCCGTTTACCATACACATGTATTACATGTACATCGTACCTGTATACCATACACAAGTATTACCTGTACATCATACTTGTATACCATACACAAGTATTACCTGTACATCATACCTGTATGCCATACACAAGCATTACCTGTACATCATACCTGTATACCATACACATGTATTACCTGTTCATCATACCTGTATATCATACACAAGTATTACCCATATGCATGCATTACCTACCATACACATGTATTACATGTACATCATTCCTGTATACCATACACAAGTATTACCTGTACATCATACCTGTATGCCATACACAAGTATTACCTGTACATCATACCTGTATACCATACACAAGTATTACCTGTACATCATACCTGTATACCATACACAAGTATTACCTGTACATCATACCTGTATACCATACACAAGTATTACCTGTACATCATACCTGTATACCATACACATGTATTACATGTACATCATACCTGTATACCATACACAAGTATTACCTGAACATCATACCTGTATACCATACACATGTATTACATGTACATCATACTTGTATACCATACACATATATTACCTGTACATCATGCCTGTATACCATACACATGTATTACATGTACATCATACCTGTATACCATATGCATGCATTACCTGTACATCATACCTGTATGCCATACACAAGTATTACCTGTACATCATACCTGTATGCCATACACAAGTATTACCTGTACATCATTCCTGTATACCATACACATGTATTATCTGTACATCATACCTGTATACCAAACACAAGTATTACCTGTACATCATACTTGTATACCATACACATATATTAACTGTACATCATGCCTGTATACCATACACATGTATTAACTGTACATCATACCTGTATACCATATGCATGCATTACCTGTACATCATACCTGTATACCATACACATGTATTACCTGTACATCATACTTGTATACCATACACGTGTATAACCTGTACATCATACCTGTATACCAAACACAAGTATTACCTGTACATCATACCTGTATACCATACACATGTATTATCTGTACATCATACCTGTATACCATACACATGTATTACCTGTACATCATACCTGTATACCAAACACAAGTATTACCTGTACATCATACCTGTATACTATACACAAGTATTACATGTACATCATACCTTAGTCTGTACACCAAACAGTTGAGCCGAAGAACCTGCTTCAGGTATAAGACAACACAGGTGAGGCAAAAAACATTGTACCTGTTTCAGTGTCTGAAGTACAGATGAGCCAGCCAGCCAGCCACTGACTACATTATAGCTGGTAAAGCTAGCTTACCAGTTAGGCAGCATTTCCTGTATATTCCTTGGTGTTTCTTCTTCACACACCTACTGTTTTATTCCTTATCTGACATATTCCTTACCTTACCTTTTCCCTATATGACATATTCTTTATCTGAACTATTTTTATCTGACCTTTTCCATTTCTGACCTATTATTTATCTTACAGATAATTGTTCACTGCCACCTCCCCCTGCCCTCTCACTCCACCCGCTTCACAAATGTTCGACAATTACATATATACATACACTGTAAGTGTAAAGTGAGTTTGTAAATATATAGGTCGCTAAACACCTGTTTTCTTAAAAATAAAATGATATTTCAGTGTTAACATCAGGACTTTCCAAGACACTCCATGCATCTTAAAAGCTGTTTGTACTCAATCTTAAATAAAGAACAAATCTATTTTGGATATGTTTACAAAACAAAATGTTTATTGCTGATTTCATGACAGGTACAATTGTCACTGACATCACAAACAAAGCAATGAATCGCTAATATTGAAATATTTAAGACCGAATTAAAATATATATACACATTCGTGAAGCCACGGTCATACATTTACACGTGCAAATTGCCGAGTATGTAAACGTGTGAAGCCGTACATATAATTACACGTGTAATCGCCGTGTATGTACAAGTGTAAAGCCATACATATATTAAGTTACACGCGTAGTTGGCGTGTATGTCGTCACTTTATATGAGACCATTACACAGGCGTAATGATATTTCCACAGGACCGACTAACTACCGGTAGCTATTCCCCTCCGCACTAGCAAGTGGATAAGCAAAAACCCTCACCATGATTCAATAATATTCACCGTTTTATGTAAGACTATTATAAAATGTGAATTGGATTCATTGATTGCTTAGATTAAGGAAATAGTATCGATATTATTGTGCTTATTTCCACGAAATATATTTCTTTACAATTCAAACACCGCGAAATTCGAATTTAAAAGTGCGTTGTGAACTTCGAAATGAAAATTAAAAACACGAAACATGTAAATATAAGCATAAAACAGCATTTTGTTCCGTGTTATGGTCCTATAGCACGGAACGCGCGTTATTCATTTTGTATTATTATGTCGTATATCTAGAGGCTAAAATGAATAATAGGTCAGACTCGTGTGACCTTGTTGAAGTCTAGAGGAGACTCGTGAGTCAATTCTCGAGTTCGTTTTTTCAGAGAATCGTCCAAACTGTAGAGGAAAAGCGCGCGATGAAATCATGCCCTGGAGAAGAGCGGGACGAGAAACACACTTGAAAGCGCCACACTCCCAATGCTAAATACAACGAAAAAGAATTTGTCAAACGTTTGTGCAACGATTTTCCATGTAACACCATATCTAATTTCCGGTTGCTGATCTTCTTCTTCATCATCGCTCTCATCATCCACGACAACCGCTTGCGTTGGATGTGACAGGGGCTTCTTCACCTCATCTAGGGGGTCCAGGCCGCCCTCCATTCCCATCCGACTTGGCGCAGCACTAGGTGCCATGCTTGAGGGTGGACGACTTTTGTCTTCAGGCCCTGTAGCAACCGGCTTTGGTTTTGGTGGGGGCGCTTTAGGTTCAGGTTTTTCCGGGTTTTTGTACTTTTCTTTACATATACGGAAAGTCATTGTGGCCACTAGGGCTGCGACGTAGAAAGGAACTGTGGATTCCTCATCCTTGTCGTGTATCCGGAGAGTAAAAATGGTGACTAGCGTCGACATACTACTCATGGCCAACATAGAGGAAAGATAGTAACTTAACGTGGCCAACGGTTGGGAAGTCTTTGGCAAATTTTCGGCCAGAATTGTTAAAAATACGGCAAAGGTTAGAAACACATTAACAGCAAATCCTATTCTTTCGCCAGCATCTGCAGGTAAGACGAAAACGAGGCTGTTGAGGAGTCCTACCAGCACGAGGGGACTGATCATGTTCACAATGAAGAACACAGGCCTTCTTTTCAAATTAAGCACATACCTTCTAAACGGTTTGTTAGACGAGTTATAAGTTGTCACTGTTGACCCCTCAAGATCCCACTCCTCGTTTTCATCGTAGTACTCAGTGTCCAGTTCGGTGGCTGAATTGTCGAACATGACCTCCTCTGCTGTGTAATCCCACATAGTCAGTATAAGCTCACAAGACTGACTGTCGAATGGATAGTAAGAAGCGTCCACCGAACATCCAGTGGCGGTGGTCACTCCAGCTCGCCAGTAGTTTTTGGCTGCGGCCAGAATGGTCTTAACGTGGTAGTTCTTGTCATATATTGGTTTCAGACCCTTTACAGAGTTAAAGATGGTGACGGGCGGGACCCAGACGTCGGGCTGTAGGGAGTCCATCTCGTACGGTTTATGATGACCGGGGATATACTTCTGAGTTAGGTACTCGTCCCTCCAGATGACGGTTACTTTGGCCATTAAGTTCATCACCCCGGACACCTCATCCAGGTCTGTAATTTTGTACAGTTGGAAAGTGACGTCAACGTATATTGTCTCGTTCTGCATCAAGCGGGGGAATACTCGGCTATCGTAAACGGTTGAGTCAAACAGATCGGCCAACATAAGGGCAAAGTCACTCGCTGTCGGAACAGGAATGGTCTGACACAGTGAACAGTTGGACTCGATCAGGAACGACCCCCCGGACACACCGGAGACTGCCATCCCCATCAGCAACAGGACCCAAACAAACTTCAAGCTTTCCATGTCGTCGATACAAACGACCGGCCGCTAGGTAGTTCGGCCGTATGAACACATTGACACGTACTCAGTCGTTTTCGCGTAGTTACTGACACGAAACAAGTCTTAAATTGATATCAAAGCGCCTTTTGTCTGTGTGAACTTTATACCGGGTTAAATTAAGCTTGTTTGTATTTAATCTGTGAGGATACATACGATGTTTTGAAATGCAGTCTATTGTTTTATTTGATATATTGTGAACTATGTGTTCCTGGCAGATGTCCGATCTACACGTGTACGTATATCCCATATATCGTGCTGTCGAGATGTGTTATACATATATATATACCTTAAATATTTAGTACAGTTATCCAGCTAAGATCAAAACTGTTTAAAGAACTACAGGTAATTTAATAATTACAAAAGACTCAGTTTAAAATGATTATTTTAGCTGCCTGCCTGCTATTTCCTGACACTCCTAAAATCTCACACATATATCGGAGAATATGACTAGAACCAGAGAGGAACAAAATGAAAAGGAGAAAGTCATAAATATTTACAAATTGTTTTCAATATTCACTTCTCAAACATTTTGAAATCCGACGTCAAACGGATGAGCGTTGCTTTATCCGTAACATTAGTAAATAATGCAGATGCAGGATATTGCATGTAATTTTGATATTGATGGGTCGACGTTGAACGTGTATATCTGAGAGTAGGGGGCGATCTCGTTCCTAGCCTGGAATGTTTTGTCAGAGATTGGTCGATACCGTCTATACCTTGATATGCATTGTACTGTAGGTGAGATTGTTTATCGTCCTGTATTGACAAGGGGCAGTCTCACTGGTATACAATGTAGTAAGGGTGGGACGTGTCACCACATTATCATTAGGGTGGGTGTTTACAAGGCCCCAGAACCAGTCTATATAGTCCTTACGGTGGGGTTAACAAAGCACCAGTATCAGTCATCATAGTGCTAATGGTAGGGGGTTTACAAAGCATCAGTACCAGTCTATATAGTCCTAAGGGTGGGGTTTACAAAGCACCGGTATCAGTCTATATAGTCCTAAGGGCGGGGGTTTACAAAGCTCCAGTATCAGTCTATTTTGTCATTAGGGTGTAGGTTTACAAGGCACCAGAACCAGTCTATATAGTCAATAGGGTGGGGGTTTACACCGCACCAAATTGTCATCAGGGTGGTGGTTTATAAAGCACCAGTATCAGTATATATAGTCATTAGGGGGAGAGTTTATAAAGCACCAGTATCAGTATATATAGTCCTAAGGGCGGGGGTTTACTAAGCACCAGTATCAGTCATCATAGTGCTAATGGTAGGGGGTTTACAAAGCCCCAGTATCAGTCTATATTGTCTCGGGGGTGTGGGTATAACCGCACCAATACTGGGCTATATTGTCATGGGGGTGGGGGTTTACACCGCACCAATACTGGGCTATATTGTCATGGGGGTGGTGGTTTACACCGCACCAATACTGGGCTATATTGTCATGGGGATGGAGTCTATATAGTCATTAGGGGGAGAGTTTATAAAGCACCAGTATCAGTATATATAGTCATTAGGGAAGCACCAGTATCAGTATATATAGTCCTAAGGGCGGGGGTTTACTAAGCACCAGTATCAGTCTATATAGTCATTAGGGTGGAGGTTTACAAAGCACCAGTATCAGTCTATATTGTCATCAGGGTGGTGGTTTACAAAGCACCAGTATCAGTCTATATAGTCCACAGGATGGGGGTTTACAAAGCACCAGTATCAGTCTATATAGTCCTTATGGTGGGGTTAACAAAGCACCAGTATCAGTCATTATAGTGCTAATGGTAGGGGGTTTACAAAGCATCAGTATCAGTCTATATAGTCCTTAGGGTGGGGTTAACAAAGCAACAGTATCAGTCTATATAGTCCTTAGGGTGGGGTTTACAAAGCATCAGTACCAGTCTATATAGTCATTAGGGTGGTGGTTTACAAAGCACCAGTATCAGTCTATATAGTCCACAGGATGGGGGTTTACAAAGCACCAGTATCAGTCTATATAGTCATTAGGGTGGGGGTTTACAAAGGACCAGTATCAGTCTATATAGTCCATAGGGTGGGGGTTTACAAAGGACCAGTATCAGTCTATATAGTCCTTAGGTTAGGGGTTAACAAAGCACCAGTATCAGTCTATATAGTCCTTAGGGTGGGGTTAACAAAGCACCAGTATCAGTAATTATAGTGCTAATGGTAGGGGGTTTACAAAGCATCAGTATCAGTCTATATAGTCCTTAGGGTGGGGTTTACAAAGCATCAGTACCAGTCTATATAGTCATTAGGGTGGTGGTTTACAAGGCACCAGTATCAGTCTATATTGTCATTAGGGTGAGGGTTTACAAGGCACTAGTACCAGTCTATATAGTCATTAGGGTGAGGGTTTACAAAGCACCAGTATCAGTCTATAAAGTCATCAGGGTGGGGCTTTACAAAGCACCAATATCAGTCTATAAAGTCCTTAGGGTGGGGATTTACAAAGCACCAGTATCAGTCTATATAGTCATTAGGGTGAGAGTTTATAAAGCACCAGTATCAGTCTATATAGTCATTAGGGTGGGGGTTTACAAAGGACCAGTATCAGTCTATATAGTCCTTAGGTTAGGGGTTAACAAAGCACCAGTATCAGTCTATATAGTCCTTAGGGTGTGGTGAACAACGCGCCAGAATCAGTCATTAGAGTGCTAACGTTAGGGGGTTTACAAAGCATCAGTATCAGTCTATATAGTCCTTAGGTTAGGGGTTAACAAAGCACCAGTATCAGTATATATAGTCCTTAGGGTGGGGTTACATGTAAAAAAGCACCAGTATCAGTCTATATAGTCCTTAGGGTGGGGTTAACAAAGCCCCAGTATCAGTATATATAGTCCTTAGGGTGGGGTTAACAAAGCCCCAGTATCAGTATATATAGTCCTTAGGGTGGGGTTACATGTAAAAAAGCACCAGTATCAGTCTATATAGTCCTAAGGGTAGGGGGTACAAAGCACCAGTATCAGTCTATATAGTCAATAGGGTGGGGGTTTACAAAGCACCAGTATCAGTCTATACAGTCATTAGGGTGGTTGTTTACAAGGCACCAGTACCAGTCTATAAAGTCATTAGGGTGGAGGTTTACAAGGCACCAGTATCAGTCTATATAGTCATTAGGGTGGTGGTTTACAAGGCACCAGTACCAGTCTATAAAGTCATTAGGGTGTAGGTTTACAAGGCACTAGTACCAGTCTATATTGTCCTTAGGGTGGGGGTTTACAAAGCACCAGTATCAGTCTATACAGTCATTAGGGTGGTGGTTTACAAGGCACCAGTATCAGTCTATATAGTCATCAGGGTGGTGGTTTACAAAGCACCAGTATCAGTCTATATAGTCCTAAGGGTAGGGGGTACAAAGCACCAGTATCAGTCTATATAGTCCTAAGGGTGGGGGTTTATACAACATCAGTATCAGTCTATATTGTCCTTAGGGTGGGGGTTTACAAAGCACCAGTATCAGTCTATAGAGTCCTAAGGGGAGGGGGTACAAAGCACCAGTATCAGTCTATCTAGTCATTAGGGTGGGGGTTTACAAAGCCCCAGTATCAGTCTATATAGTCATTAGGGTGGGGGTTTACAAAGCACCAGTATCTGTCTATATAGTCCATAGGGTGGGGGTTTACAAAGCACCAGTATCAGTCTATATTGTCATGGGGGTGGCGGTTTACACCGCATTAATACTGGCCTTTTATTGTCTCGGGGGTCTTGGTATACACGGCACCAATACTGGTCTATATTGTCCCGGGGTTGGGGGTAAACATTGTATCAGTACTGGTCTATATTGTCTCGGGGGTGTGGGTATACATTGTATCAATACTGGTCTATATTGTCATGGGGGTATGGGTATACATTGTATCAATACTGGTGTATATTGTCATGGGGGTGGTGGTTTACACCGCACCAATACTGGTCTATATTGTCATGGGGTTGGCGGTTTACACCGCACCAATACTGGTCTATATTGTCGTGGGGATGTGGGTATACATTGCATCAATACTGGTGTATATTGTTCCGGGGATGGGGGTATACATTGTATCAGTACTGGTCTATATTGTCTCGGGGGTGTGGGTATACACCGCACCAATACTGGTCTATATTGTCTCGGGGGTATGGGTATACATTGTATTAATACTGGTCTATATTGTCATGGGGGTGGCGGTTTACACCGCACCAATACGGGTCTATATTGTCTCGGGGGTGTGGGTATACATTGTATCAGTACTGGTCTATATTGTATCTGGGGTATGGGTATACATTGTATTAATACTGCTCTATATTGTCATGGGGGTGGCGGTTTACACCGCACCGATACTGGTCTATATTGTCTCGGGGGTGTGGGTATACATTGTATCAGTACTGGTCTATATTGTATCGGGGGTATGTGTATACATTGTATTAATACTGGTCTATATTGTCATGGTGGTGGCGGTTTACACCGCACAAATACTGGTCTATATTGTCTCGGGGGTATGGGTATACACCGCACCAATACTGGTCTATATTGTGGTATACATTGTATTAATACTGGTCTAGATTGTCATGGGGGTGGCGGTTTACACCGCACCGATACTGGTCTATATTGTCTCGGGGGTGTGGGTATACATTGTATCAGTACTGGTCTATATTGTCTCGGGGGTATGGGTATACAACGCACCAATACTGGTCTATATTGTCATTGGGATGGCGGTTTACATCGCACCAATACTGGTCTATTGGGGATGGCGGTTTACACCGCACCAATACTGGACTATATTGTCATGGGGATGGCGGTTTACAACGCACCAATACTGGTCTATATTGTCTCGAGGGTATGGGTATACACCGCACCAATACTGGTCTATATTGTCATGGGGATGGCGGTTTACATCGCACCAATACTGGTCTATATTGTCATGGAGATGTGGGTATACATTGCATCAATACTGGTCTATCTTGTCTCGGGGTGTGGGTATAC